AGAATTTCGCATCGACTTGGCAAACCCTTTCTCTATTTCATATTAGCCGTGCCTTCAAAAGGGTAGAAATGTCTCAGCATTTGAGAAAAATTGAATTTGTGCGCAGTTTTGCTCGTCGGACAAATACACACACACACACACATTGAAACGATCCCTAAACATAGAGAGAGCATTGAGAGCTGAGAGTAAGTGCGAGCGAGATAAAAGTTAACAGCGTTGGCGTTCTATCGCATAAATCATATGGAAGAGAGTGCGCCAAGCACTTTCCTGTAGAGTAAGCGGTTCAAAAATACATCATATGTATATCTTACTCCCTTACTCGCGATTTTGGACCAGATGCCTCCGATACTTTTTGTGACAACGCTGTTTGTATGTGATGTCCAGTCTATATGTTGTTTGGTTAGTGGTTACAGCACCGTTTACAGGAAATCGAAAAATATCGATAGCGAAGTCCTGATATTTAAGTATATCTCGAAGCTTATAAGAGCAACAGACGCAAAATTTAGTGTGAAATATTATTCTTAACTGCCTTTTTAATAAACTATCGGTTTTGATTTTACAAATCCATGTGTAAGCAAATAACAAGGCCCACACAAACATATGTTGTGACTTTTTTCCAATCCGAATTATGTTACGAAGAAAATAACTACAAACTTATATGTATATACTAGTGAACTAATGTACTTATGTTCTTTAAGTACGTAAAATGTGTTCTTGACTCTATTTAGATTTGAAAAAGATAATCGATAATCTGTATGTACATTTGTACTTCTATTTGAACGCAATTTCGTTACTAATGAATATACAGAAGAAACTGGGACTGTATACGTACATACATATGTATATATTTGCGGAGGTATCATCATATAAATGACGATACTAAATGAGTCATTTTTTAGATAAAGCAAGATCATGTGTACACTCATGCGTATGTATTGGCATACATTACGTGTTTCATATTTCAATACACATGAAGTGTATTGTTTTACTTTGTACAATTTCGTAATATTTACATCCATACATAGGTAACGTAAATAGACTATTGTGATTCATCTGTACATGCAAGTACAATAAATGTGAAGTAATTTAATAATGAACATTATGTTTACTTACTGATGTTCGTGTTCTGTAGGAGGGTTCATTTTAATTTCTTGTACTTTATTAAAAAACCCTTTCCACATCTTTTCCTCATCCATATTTAACTTGATTGCAAACGAGATTACGAAAAAAAACTAGCGAGCAGCTCAAAGCGCTGAGACAGTTTCGAAAGAACTGATGAGAAATCTGCGTCACCATATCGCTTCTCTTAAATTTTATGACGCACCATACACATGCATACACACGTACATAGAAGAATAACATTAGTAACGAGTTTAAACTTCTATATCAACAAATTTATTATTAATGCACTCCCTCTTCATAATTTAACCTACTAATAATTTTATGTTTACACATCGCCTTGCATATTAACGTAACATGTATTAGAGTTTCCTTAGAATAGTGAGATTTAAGATTAACATCGGAAGTATCGCAAGCCAAGTTCGCAAAAATTATGATGTGTTGAACGAGTCGTAGACTATTATGTTTTTTACCCGACAAGTTCGTTTTCAATGCATTGTAGGTAAATATCGTTTATGAAATAGGGTTCAGTGTGTATGGGAAAAAAATATTCCACCTTTTGACTTATTCACTAAGATTTGCCATAGTAGAATGATGGACTAGGAGAATCTTGCCTCAAGCTCACGGCCGCAAAACTTGGTGGAGTAAACGCTGAAATTAGGCGTCTTTTTGGTGGCGTCTTCTGGTGGATTTTAGAACGTAAGCTGTATGCTACTTCGAAAACAATCTCGTATTGCGCGGGCACTACGTGAATAAACGTTCTCAGGTTGACGCGTTGATACATACGGACAGTCACGGGGTCGATTATACCCGTCTTAGCCATTTTCAATGGTTTCAGAATATAACAAGTTAGAGGTTCTAGTCGGGAGCTCCCGACTAGGGGATACCCTGAACCCTTTTCTTCCAACATCAAATGCATATATGTATATATACTTTTTTAGAAACTATATGTCAAGTTTGATGACTCTAGCTCTTATTATTTACCAAAATTGCCCAAAAAACAGGATATCGATATCGATTTTTATCGATTGATTGGAAATGGAGTAAGTTATCGATTATCGGAAATAAACTCGATCTGCGCAGGCACAAGGAGCACCTACATCTAAAATTTCAAATCTTTAGCTCTTATAGGTTCTCAGATCCTTGCGTTCATACATACGGGCGGACGGACGGACAGACAGACGAACATGGCTAGATCGACTCGGGTATTGGAGTCGGAGATGCTTCCTCCTGCCTGTTATATACATTTGGATTTTGCAGAAATACAATATACCCTCATACCCATTTTTAATGGGTTCAGGGTATAAAAACCCTTTCCCATCCAAAAACTGATTATTTGACCGGTTTCGTTGTTTGCATTTTGCTGTTATGTGCAGAGCATCGAATTACACGTATTTACCGACATTAATTAATATAAAAAGTTCACATAAATATTTTACGCCCTGAAAAGAATGTTAGAGTGTGGTAGAATACTTTTTGTAAAAGGAAAAGAAATTACATTGTATAACGAAACCTTGGCACGCCGAAAATCTAATCTAAATCAGACCCGAATCTTGATATCTTGATCAACAAAAATGATTTTTAATCATAAACCTAGCTTTTGACCGATCGTTCTTATGGCATGTAAGTATATAAGAATAAGATTTTGCAAAAATGAATATATCTTGAATGACAAAAAACTTTTTCCTTACAACAACTTAACTTTCGACCAATCGTTCCTATGGCAGCTATATGAGATCTTAATGGGATTTGCATGTTTATGGAGAGCATACTAAAACTAATAAACTAATAAGTTTGGTCAAGATATCTTAATTAACAAATTTTTGTTCATACAACAACTTAATTTTCGACCGATAGTTCCTATGTTCTATGTATTCTGCAAAGTTTCATTAAGATAACTTTAAAACTGAGAGACTAGTTCGCATAGAAACAGACAGATCGACATGGCTATATCGACTCGGCTGCGGATAAAGTTCAAAAATATATGGGATCGGAGATGTCTCCTTTTATGCGTTACACATTTCACGACGCGATCTCGAGACAGCTAGATACTCAGCTTTATCAAAACCAGAAAAGTTATTAATACATGAATTTAATTTTCGACGGATCTTTTCCATGGCAGCAACATTTATAATACCTACTGGTCCTCCAACAGAAAAGCGGATATCAGCTAAGCTTAGTGTCGATAGCTCTAAAACTGAACTTGCATAGAATCCGACGGAAACGTACACTTTATTCCTAATTTTGTTGTCTCTAGCTAGTTAATTATCCAAAACAAACTAGTTAATTATCCAATAAGATTAAAGATTTGGTCGCCTCTTACGAATGGGTGTTCAAGCCTTTGTAATGCCAATTTTGAGACTAACGAGTTTATCATGGGGATGTTACTGCAAGATTCCATTTAGGATACAGTAAGTAATCTTCAAACCTACGAAAAAGTGGTTGACATTCTACCATTATTATTTTTTCCATGAGTGCTTGCCTGCGTTTTATTATGTCCAGTTGCTAAATATATTAAATGATTATAATTATAAAATATAATAAATATAAGGAATTATTAATTATTAAGGGAAATCACAACAAAAAAACAAACAAGAGCATGCATATTGCTCTACCTTGTCATTTTGCGTCTGTGAAATCTAGAAATTTTCCTAGTTTTTTTGCTCCTCATCAACTCGTAGGGACGAGCATTGATCTTTAAAGTTGGGCTTACTACTTACTACGGTATTCAAATATGCCACATTTGTGATGTACAGCGGGCCGAAACAAAGTTAGGGAAAGCGCCCCTCAGGGACACTGCATGCACAGTATCTTTTCGCTATTAAATTGAATGCGTGTAAGTCCTACTTAATGACGGGCGAGGGGCATCACAATCCTTTGCTGGTCTCTGGGAACAGCACCTGGTTGACACGCAACTCTACGCCATGTCAAGACTTTTCCTACATTGGGATTTTTAAAACACAGTAGAAGCTACTCTCCAGTTTTTTTCCAGACTAGCGCGCATGGCTACATCGACTCGGCTACTTATGATGATTAAGAGTATATATATTTACTTTATGACATGGAATCAGACAACCGTCTTGCTATACCCTTATTATCCTTTTTCAATGGGTTCAGGGTGAACCTGTATGGGCCGTGTAACAGTTTCGCGCTGCAAAACTGTCCTTCATTCGTGCTCTGTGCAGGGCATTTCCAACCTCATCAACGATCAAGGATCAAAAATTAGAAACAGTTTAGACTTTCGACTCCCACCTAGTCCCACCTAAAAAACCAAAAGACGACTTTTCCCAATATAGAGGCGGTAACCAAAGAAAAAAATAATAGTGTAAAACACTGAGCTTGAAAAATATTTTTATGGCATATAAATCTCTATATATAAAACTATTTGCCCTAACTGATTGGTGATCATCGCACAGCACTAACCGTAAGAGCTATGAAGCTGAAATTTTCAAATTGGTTATCTTATGTGGTGAAAGTGCACACGATTTCGGGGAATGCTAAAGCTAAAAATGGAATGTACTCTCAGCTTCGGCTCAATGGGGGCCGTGCAAGCAATTATGTTTGTATGAGTGTGAATATACATACATAGCAGCATATTTTAATGTGTTCTGGTAAAGCCTCTGGCTGGCCAAGAAATACATTTTTTAGCTTTCTAGCGCTGATCATGAACTTTTCCAAATTTGTGCTGACTTATGAATGCATGTTTTGTACTGTGGTTCGCTACGTAGAAAATATGTATTTTTAAGTCGATGCTAATATAAACATATACAATTTCTTTAAATTAAATAAATATTATTTTTATACTCCCATTAAGACTTATTAATTACTTAAAAATAACAAACCAAAAAAAGTAAAAAAAAAAAAAATAAAATAAAATTTATCTTTAATAGCCTCTGTCCACTGAACACATTTCTCACACATTTCTGAAAATGACACATTTTTGCAAAGTGTGTGAATTGCGCCTTGGGCGTTTCCCCTAAGAAAACATAATTCACGCATCTTTCAAAATAGGCTAATTTTTGAAAAATGCGTAAACTCGCCCTGAACATTTCGTGTTTTTTGCGATGATTTATCCAGATTTGTGATGTTGTGAAAAATGGTAAAGTATCGTAAACATCAACAGCTGATATATTAACGAATGCAAGCGACAACTTTATATAAGAAATTTAAATTAGAATAACCTCACAGTTTTTAGAATTTAAACATGGCGAAATGTCGAAAAGAGTACCTAAAGTGGAGCCCTTACGGCGAGAGCGCAATTTTCGAGGTTTGGAAGAAAAACTTTACGGCGCCTATGCAAATTAAAGCAACTTATGTAAATTATGCAATCAGATTTTTATTTAAAGAAACGGTAGTTTTTCCACTCACATGTCACCGACAACCGATGGAGCACCTATATGTAAAACTTGAAAATGTGACAATTCTTAAGCCAGTGGAGAAAGGCTATAATAAGATAAGTAACGCCCTACAACAAGATGCTACAACAAATTAATTTTTAAAAATTGAAAACGCAAACGAAATCAGTATTATTGCTTTCTCACACTCCAAAGAGCGAAAACTCTAAAAATGGAATTTACTTTCAGCTTCCGCTCTGTGAGAGTTGTATAGGCAATTGTGTTTGTATGTAAGTGAATATACATAACAGCATATCTAAATATGTTGTTATTCTCTGCTCTGGGTTTTGCTGGCAAAGAAATATATCTCGCTTGTTTCCTACTGCAGACTTTTCTAGTCGATGTAAACGATGATTTATATAATTTCTTTAAATTAAATTATTTATTTTCTTATCCCAATTAGGAAATAAGTATGCAAATCTTTTCATTTTTAATATACATTTTAAATATTTTTTTGGGAGCGTAGTAATAATTTTCCATAATAAATAGCAGTGTTAGGAAAGCCAAATATTTCAATCTCTGAGCCTGCCCATGACGGGTTGGCAGCAGCCAAAAGTCCTATTTGAATATAAATAAAAGTCTATATTTTAAAACACTTATCTATAAGTTTCAATTATTTATTATTCAATATTTACATATATTTAGATACGACGATATGTCAGTACAGTATGTCAGACAGTATCTCAGACGCCACATCGATTTTGTTTCTTCATTAAATGGAAAGATACTTTTTAACTTGTTTTTGATAATTTACAGTTAGCGCTGCTAACTTAAAAAAATTAAATTAAAGAAAAAAGAAAACAATACGAGTAAAAGGATTTAGTCGTGACTTTCCGACTAGGGTATACCCTGAACCCTTTTCTTCCAACATCAAATGCATATATGTATATATACTTTTTTAGAAACTATATGTCAAGTTTGATGACTCTAGCTTTTATTATTTACCAAAATTGCCCAAAAAACAGGATATCGATATCGATTTTTATCGATTGATTGGAAATGGAGTAAGTTATCGATTATCGGAAATAAACTCGATCTGCGCAGGCACAAGGAGCACCTACATCTAAAATTTCAAATCTTTAGCTCTTATAGGTTTTCTGATCCTTGCGTTCATACATACGGGCGGACGGACGGACAGACAGACGAACATGGCTAGATCGACTCGGGTATTGATGCTGATCCAGAATATATATACTTTATGGCGTCGGAGATGCTTCCTCCTGCCTGTTATATACATTTGGATTTTGCAGAAATACAATATACCCTCATACCCATTTTTAATGGGTTCAGGGTATAAAAACCCTTTCCCATCCAAAAACTGATTATTTGACCGGTTTCGTTGTTTGCATTTTGCTGTTATGTGCAGAGCATCGAATTACACGTATTTACCGACATTAATTAATATAAAAAGTTCACATAAATATTTTACGCCCTGAAAAGAATGTTAGAGTGTGGTAGAATACTTTTTGTAAAAGGAAAAGAAATTACATTGTATAACGAAACCTTGGCACGCCGAAAATCTAATCTAAATCAGACCCGAATCTTGATATCTTGATCAACAAAAATGATTTTTAATCATAAACCTAGCTTTTGACCGATCGTTCTTATGGCAGATATATGATATAGTAGTCCGATGTAAGTATATAAGAATAAGATTTTGCAAAAATGAAGGGAGCTTTGTGAATTCTTGAAGTGCCGCGTTTTATTAAAATATCTTGAATGACAAAAAACTTTTTCCTTACAACAACTTAACTTTCGACCAATCGTTCCTATGTTCTATGTATTCTGCAAAGTTTCATTAATATAACTTTAAAACTGAGAGACTAGTTCGCATAGAAACAGACAGATCGACATGGCTATATCGACTCGGCTGCGGATAAAGTTCAAAAATATATGGGATCGGAGATGTCTCCTTTTATGCATTACACATTTCACGACGCGATCTCGAGACAGCTAGATACTCAGCTTTATCAAAACCAGAAAAGTTATTAATACATGAATTTAATTTTCGACGGATCTTTTCCATGGCAGCAACATTTATAATACCAACAGAAAAGCGGATATCAGCTAAGCTTAGTGTCGATAGCTCTAAAACTGAACTTGCATAGAATCCGACGGAAACGTACACTTTATTCCTAATTTTGTTGTCTCTAGCTAGTTAATTATCCAAAACAAACTAGTTAATTATCCAATAAGATTAAAGATTTGGTCGCCTCTTACGAATGGTTGTTCAAGCCTTTGTAATGCCAATTTTGAGACTAACGAGTTTATCATGGGGATGTTACTGCAAGATTCCATTTAGGATACAGTAAGTAATCTTCAAACCTACGAAAAAGTGGTTGACATTCTACCATTATTATTTTTTCCATGAGTGCTTGCCTGCGTTTTATTATGTCCAGTTGCTAAATATATTAAATGATTATAATTATAAAATATAATAAATATAAGGAATTATTAATTATTAAGGGAAATCACAACAAAAAAACAAACAAGAGCATGCATATTGCTCTACCTTGTCATTTTGCGTCTGTGAAATCTAGAAATTTTCCTAGTTTTTTTGCTCCTCATCAACTTGTAAGGACGAGCATTGATCTTTAAAGTTGGGCTTACTACTTACTACGGTATTCAAATATGCCACATTTGTGATGTACAGCGGGCCGAAACAAAGTTAGGGAAAGCGCCCCTCAGGGACACTGCATGCACAGTATCTTTTCGCTATTAAATTGAATGCGTGTAAGTCCTACTTAATGACGGGCGAGGGCCATCACAATCCTTTGCTGGTCTCTGGGAACAGCACCTGGTTGACACGCAACTCTACGCCATGTCAAGACTTTTCCTACATTGGGATTTTTAAAACACAGTAGAAGCTACTCTCCAGTTTTTTTCCAGACTAGCGCGCATGGCTACATCGACTCGGCTACTTATGATGATTAAGAGTATATATATTTACGTTATGACATGGAATCAGACAACCGTCTTGCTATACCCTTATTATCCTTTTTCAATGGGTTCAGGGTGAACCTGTATGGGCCGTGTAACAGTTTCGCGCTGCAAAACTGTCCTTCATTCGTGCTCTGTGCAGGGCATTTCCAACAATTAGAAACAGTTTAGACTTTCGACTCCCACCTAGTCCCACCTAAAAAACCAAAAGACGACTTTTCCGAATATAGAGGCGGTAACCAAAGAAAAAAATAATAGTGTAAAACACTGAGCTTGAAAAATATTTTTATGGCATATAAATCTCTATATATGAAACTATTTGCCCTAACTGATTGGTGATCATCGCACAGCACTAACCGTAAGAGCTATGAAGCTGAAATTTTCAAATTGGTTATCTTATGTGGTGAAAGTGCACACGATTTCGGGGAATGCTAAAGCTAAAAATGGAATGTACTCTCAGCTTCGGCTCAATGGGGGCCGTGCAAGCAATTATGTTTGTATGCGTGTGAATATACATACATAGCAGCATATTTTAATGTGTTCTGGTAAAGCCTCTGGCTGGCCAAGAAATACATTTTTTTAGCTTTCTAGCGCTGATCATGAACTATTCCAAATTTGTGCTGACTTATGAATGCATGTTTTGTACTGCGGTTCGCTACGTAGAAAATATGTATTTTTAAGTCGATGCTAATATAAACATATACAATTTCTTTAAATTAAATAAATATTATTTTTATACTCCCATTAAGACTTATTAATTACTTGAAAATAACAAACCAAAAAAAGTAAAAAAAAAAAAAAAAATAAAATTTATCTTTAATAGCCTCTGTCCACTGAACACATTTCTCACACATTTCTGAAAATGACACATTTTTGCAAAGTGTGTGAATTGCGCCTTGGGCGTTTCCCCTAAGAAAACATAATTCACGCATCTTTCAAAATAGGCTAATTTTTGAAAAATGCGTAAACTCGCCCTAAACATTTCATGTTTTTTGCGATGATTTATCCAGATTTGTATCGATGTTGTGAAAAATGGTAAAGTATCGTAAACATCAACAGCTGATATATTAACGAATGCAAGCGACAACTTTATATAAGAAATTTAAATTAGAATAACCTCACAGTTTTTAGAATTTAAACATGGCGAAATGTCGAAAAGAGTACCTAAAGTGGAGCCCTTACGGCGAGAGCGCAATTTTCGAGGTTTGGAAGAAAAACTTTACGGCGCCTATGCAAATTAAAGCAACTTATGTAAATTATGCAATCAGATTTTTATTTAAAGAAACGGTAGTTTTTCCACTAACATGTCACCGACAACCGATGGAGCACCTATATGTAAAACTTGAAAATGTGACAATTCTTAAGCCAGTGGAGAAAGGCTATAATAAGATAAGTAACGCCCTACAACAAGATGCTACAACAAATTAATTTTTAAAAATTGAAAACGCAAACGAAATCAGTATTATTGCTTTCTCACACTCCAAAGAGCGAAAACTCCAAAAATGGAATTTACTTTCAGCTTCCGCTCTGTGAGAGTTGTATAGGCAATTGTGTTTGTATGTAAGTGAATATACATAACAGCATATCTAAATATGTTGTTATTCTCTGCTCTGGGTTTTGCTGGCAAAGAAATATATCTCGCTTGTTTCCTACTGCAGACTTTACTAGTCGATGTAAACGATGATTTATATAATTTCTTTAAATTAAATTATTTATTTTCTTATCCCAATTAGGAAATAAGTATGCAAATCTTTTCATTTTTAATATACATTTTAAATATTTTTTTGGGAGCGTAGTAATAATTTTCCATAATAAATAGCAGTGTTAGGAAAGCCAAATATTTCAATCTCTGAGCCTGCCCATGACGGGTTGGCAGCAGCCAAAAGTCCTATTTGAATATAAATAAAAGTCTATATTTTAAAACACTTATCTATAAGTTTCAATTATTTATTATTCAATATTTACATATATTTAGATACGACGATATGTCAGTACAGTATGTCAGACAGTATCTCAGACGCCACATCGATTTTGTTTCTTCATTAAATGGAAAGATACTTTTTAACTTGTTTTTGATAATTTACAGTTAGCGCTGCTAACTTAAAAAAATTAAATTAAAGAAAAAAGAAAACAATACGAGTAAAAGGATTTAGTCGTGACTTTCCGACTAGGGTATACCCTGAACCCTTTTCTTCCAACATCAAATGCATATATGTATATATACTTTTTTAGAAACTATATGTCAAGTTTGATGACTCTAGCTTTTATTATTTACCAAAATTGCCCAAAAAACAGGATATCGATATCGATTTTTATCGATTGATTGGAAATGGAGTAAGTTATCGATTATCGGAAATAAACTCGATCTGCGCAGGCACAAGGAGCACCTACATCTAAAATTTCAAATCTTTAGCTCTTATAGGTTTTCTGATCCTTGCGTTCATACATACGGGCGGACGGACGGACAGACAGACGAACATGGCTAGATCGACTCGGGTATTGATGCTGATCCAGAATATATATACTTTATGGCGTCGGAGATGCTTCCTCCTGCCTGTTATATACATTTGGATTTTGCAGAAATACAATATACCCTCATACCCATTTTTAATGGGTTCAGGGTATAAAAACCCTTTCCCATCCAAAAACTGATTATTTGACCGGTTTCGTTGTTTGCATTTTGCTGTTATGTGCAGAGCATCGAATTACACGTATTTACCGACATTAATTAATATAAAAAGTTCACATAAATATTTTACGCCCTGAAAAGAATGTTAGAGTGTGGTAGAATACTTTTTGTAAAAGGAAAAGAAATTACATTGTATAACGAAACCTTGGCACGCCGAAAATCTAATCTAAATCAGACCCGAATCTTGATATCTTGATCAACAAAAATGATTTTTAATCATAAACCTAGCTTTTGACCGATCGTTCTTATGGCAGATATATGATATAGTAGTCCGATGTAAGTATATAAGAATAAGATTTTGCAAAAATGAAGGGAGCTTTGTGAATTCTTGAAGTGCCGCGTTTTATTAAAATATCTTGAATGACAAAAAACTTTTTCCTTACAACAACTTAACTTTCGACCAATCGTTCCTATGTTCTATGTATTCTGCAAAGTTTCATTAATATAACTTTAAAACTGAGAGACTAGTTCGCATAGAAACAGACAGATCGACATGGCTATATCGACTCGGCTGCGGATAAAGTTCAAAAATATATGGGATCGGAGATGTCTCCTTTTATGCGTTACACATTTCACGACGCGATCTCGAGACAGCTAGATACTCAGCTTTATCAAAACCAGAAAAGTTATTAATACATGAATTTAATTTTCGACGGATCTTTTCCATGGCAGCAACATTTATAATACCAACAGAAAAGCGGATATCAGCTAAGCTTAGTGTCGATAGCTCTAAAACTGAACTTGCATAGAATCCGACGGAAACGTACACTTTATTCCTAATTTTGTTGTCTCTAGCTAGTTAATTATCCAAAACAAACTAGTTAATTATCCAATAAGATTAAAGATTTGGTCGCCTCTTACGAATGGGTGTTCAAGCCTTTGTAATGCCAATTTTGAGACTAACGAGTTTATCATGGGGATGTTACTGCAAGATGCCATTTAGGATACAGTAAGTAATCTTCAAACCTACGAAAAAGTGGTTGACATTCTACCATTATTATTTTTCCATGAGTGCTTGCCTGCGTTTTATTATGTCCAGTTGCTAAATATATTAAATGATTATAATTATAAAATATAATAAATATAAGGAATTATTAATTATTAAGGGAAATCACAACAAAAAAACAAACAAGAGCATGCATATTGCTCTACCTTGTCATTTTGCGTCTGTGAAATCTAGAAATTTTCCTAGTTTTTTTGCTCCTCATCAACTTGTAAGGACGAGCATTGATCTTTAAAGTTGGGCTTACTACTTACTACGGTATTCAAATATGCCACATTTGTGATGTACAGCGGGCCGAAACAAAGTTAGGGAAAGCGCCCCTCAGGGACACTGCATGCACAGTATCTTTTCGCTATTAAATTGAATGCGTGTAAGTCCTACTTAATGACGGGCGAGGGCCATCACAATCCTTTGCTGGTCTCTGGGAACAGCACCTGGTTGACACGCAACTCTACGCCATGTCAAGACTTTTCCTACATTGGGATTTTTAAAACACAGTAGAAGCTACTCTCCAGTTTTTTTCCAGACTAGCGCGCATGGCTACATCGACTCGGCTACTTATGATGATTAAGAGTATATATATTTACTTTATGACATGGAATCAGACAACCGTCTTGCTATACCCTTATTATCCTTTTTCAATGGGTTCAGGGTGAACCTGTATGGGCCGTGTAACAGTTTCGCGCTGCAAAACTGTCCTTCATTCGTGCTCTGTGCAGGGCATTTCCAACAATTAGAAACAGTTTAGACTTTCGACTCCCACCTAGTCCCACCTAAAAAACCAAAAGACGACTTTTCCGAATATAGAGGCGGTAACCAAAGAAAAAAATAATAGTGTAAAACACTGAGCTTGAAAAATATTTTTATGGCATATAAATCTCTATATATGAAACTATTTGCCCTAACTGATTGGTGATCATCGCACAGCACTAACCGTAAGAGCTATGAAGCTGAAATTTTCAAATTGGTTATCTTATGTGGTGAAAGTGCACACGATTTCGGGGAATGCTAAAGCTAAAAATGGAATGTACTCTCAGCTTCGGCTCAATGGGGGCCGTGCAAGCAATTATGTTTGTATGCGTGTGAATATACATACATAGCAGCATATTTTAATGTGTTCTGGTAAAGCCTCTGGCTGGCCAAGAAATACATTTTTTTAGCTTTCTAGCGCTGATCATGAACTATTCCAAATTTGTGCTGACTTATGAATCCATGTTTTGTACTGTGGTTCGCTACGTACAAAAAATATGTATTTTTAAGTCGATGCTAATATAAACGTATACAATTTCTTTAAATTAAATAAATATTATTTTTATACTCCCATTAAGACTTATTAATTACTTAAAAATAACAATCAAAAAAAAGTAAAAAAAAAAAAAAAAAAAAATTAATAAAATTTATCTTTAATAGCCTCTGTCCACTGAACACATTTCTCACACATTTCTGAAAATGTCACATTTTTGCAAAGTGTATGAATTGCGCATACATAATTCACGCATCTTTCAAAATAGGCTAATTTTTGAAAAATGCGTAAACTCGCTCAGAACATTTCGTGTTTTTTGCGATGATTTATCCAGATTTGTATCGATGTTGTGAAAAATGGTAAAGTATCGTAAACATCAACAGCTGATATATTAACGAATGCAAGCGACAACTTTATATAAGAAATTTAAATAAGAATAACCTCACAGTTTTTAGAATTTAAACATGGCGAAATGTCGAAAAGAGTACCTAAAGTGGAGCCCTTACGGCGAGAGCGCAATTTTTGAGGTTTGGGGAAAAACTTTACGGCGCCTATGCAAATTAAAGCAACTTATGTAAATTATGCAATCAGATGTTTATTTAAAGAAACGGTATTTTTTCACTCACATGTCACCGACAACCGATGGAGCACCTATATGTGAAACTTGAAAATGTGACATTTCTTAAGCTAGTGGAGAAAGGCTATAAGATGAGTAACGCCCTACAACAAGATGCTACAACAAATTAATTTTTAAAAATTGAAAACTCAAACGAAATCAGTATCATTGCGTTCTCACACTCCAAAGAGCGAAAACGCGTAAAATGGAATTTACTTTCAGCTTCCGCTCTGTGAGAGTTGTACAGGCAATTGTGTTTGTATGTGAGTGAATATACATAACAGCATATCTAAATATGTTGTTATTCTCTGCTCTGGGTTTTGCTGGCAAAGAAATATATCTCGCTTGTTTCCTACTGCAGACTTTTCTAGTCGATGTAAACGATGATTTATATAATTTCTTTAAATTAAATTATTTATTTTCTTATCCCAAATAGGAAATAAGTATGCAAATCTTTTCATTTTTAATATACATTTTAAATATTTTTTTGGGAGCGTAGTAATAATTTTCCATAATAAATAGCAGTGTTAGGAAAGCCAAATATTTCAATCTCTGAGCCTGCCCATGACGGGTTGGCAGCAGCCAAAAGTCCTATTTGAATATAAATAAAAGTCTATATTTTAAAACACTTATCTATAAGTTTCAATTATTTATTATTCAATATTTACATATATTTAGATACGACGATATGTCAGTACAGTATGTCAGTATCTCAGACGCCACATCGATTTTGTTTCTTCATTAAATGGAAAGATACTTTTTAACTTGTTTTTGATAATTTACAGTCAACGCTGCTAATTTAAAAAAATTAAATTAAAACAAAAAGAAAACAATACGAGTAAAAGGATTTAGTCGCGACTTTCCGACTAGTGGATGGCCTGAACCAAAGACACTTATAGCCTCTGTCCACTGATCACATTTCTGAAAATGTCACATTTTTGCGAAATTCGTAAAATGCGACCTGTATGTTTTCCCAATGGAAATCACATTTGCGATGATGAATCGAGATTTTTATCGATGTTGTGAAAAGTGTGAAATTATCAAAACCATAAACAGCTGTTATATCAACAAAAGCAAGCGGCAACTTTAAATAGGAAATTTAAAATAGAAATAATCCCATAGTTTTTAGAATTTAAGCATGGCGAAATCTCGAAAAAAGTAGCTAAAATGGAGCCCTTACCTCAAGAGCGCAATTTTAGAGTTTTACAAGAAAAACTTTACAGCGCTTATGTAAATTAAAGAAACTCGATCAGCTGTTTATTTTAAAAAGCGGTACTTTCGCCACTCACATGTTACCTCCAACCGGTGAAACACCAATATGTTAAATTGGAAAATGTGACATTTCTTAAACTAGTGGACAGAGGCTATAAACCACAACAACCAGAACTTTTCTAGAGCATACACTGTCCAAAAACAAAAGTGAAGTCAATCTATGTGTGGTATATTCTTAACATAATTATTGCGCAAGAAGCTCTGTTTACAAATTATATAATTCTTAAATTATCTTGTGAAATTAATGGTTAGTATCTAGGGTAATATATCATTTAAATAAAGCATGCATTTCATGGATAAAGCAAAAGCACTTTGCGTCTTCTTGTACCCCGAAAACGAAGCGACGCAAAGCACCATCGACCAGCTTTGCTGGAGGCAGGCTGGCGACTAGCTTCGTTGCTCGTGTCAGCATCAGCAAGCCGTGACTTCGGCATTCCAACAGCCAGTCGGCTGGCATGTCGTGCGAAATCGTAAGGGCCAGTTTAGGATGCCAGGCTAGAAATTTTGTGTCGCATTCAAATGTATGGGCGTTACTCATCTAGTGTTTATATTGTTTTTGGTGGTAGGGTCAAGTTTATCTCCAAAGACCTATACGATCAGTTTTCGCAGAATCCCAGCTTCCTCGTACAAATGTGATTGAAAGAGTTTTGGGCTAAGTTTTAAGTTTTGCGCGATTTGCTTCAAACCTAATTTCATGTTCTTCATAAAAACCTGTTTGAGCAAAATTCCCCCCACAAGTTAATTAGCGAAAAACGGTTGTATGTACGTTTTGTGCTTATCATCCGATCGGCCTCAAAGTCATTTTCGATGATCTTTGTGAGAAATTATTTAATAGCTTCTTGGGTGGCAAATGCGGGTCAGAGGTTTAATAAACGAAAGTTTATAATGGAAAGGTAATATTAAAAAATGTTCCCACAAAATGTATCACTGGCAAGGGGTGGCAATACTCGTATTATTATTATAAAATTCGATTCCGACATTTCTATTTTTTAATTTTCGAAATAATCGCAGAATTAATAACGTATCGTTTCTTTACCGTGTTTGGCTATAGAAGCTCTACTTTAGTAAATTTTCCGGCGAGTATTTGATCGTGTTTCAAAACGTTAGTTTTGTGTTTGTTTTGGCTCGTGCATTTAAAACTCGGCCCGCAATTACCTTCTTTTTCAGAATATAAACAAGAATACACTAGATATTAGTCATTTTCGGGGAACACTTTTCCCATTTTTTTGGCCTCAAAATCACTTTAAATAGGTCACGAGACATAAAAGACCGCTCTTCCATAAAATTCTTAACTTTGAAATTCACTATGAAATATTTTATTATCAGATTATTTAAGTTTTTCTTGTACATATTAATATATAAATTGATATCAGTGCTGTTGAGATTGAGGCAACAATGGGTATAATGAAAATTGAAACTGTAATTATTTCACATACTCAGTTTAGACTTTATATAGATGAAATAGGTTAAATAAATATTAGCAGTGCAGCTACAAGGAATGAATCAAGTAAACTCTTGACTTTAAATTGTGTACAAATCGATTGAATTAAATTCGAATGAACCGTTCAATGAAAGCGTCGATCGATTTATATAATAATAATAAATTACATAAAAATGTTATCATATTATTGTATTTATACCTAATTACCGGTTGTTGGCTTTATTTTCAGCTTAATTTTATCTTTCTGGTTAACTGCTTGTACACAGAATTTTAAAAAATCTTAAACATGAAATCAGCGAATCTTAGGTGCACATTGGCATGAGGATTCTATATAACGTTCATCAGACGCATTTCAATTGTTTGTTTCCGCAGCTCAGTCCTTAATAGTCATTGTTCCGCATTCTATCATTTTCATTTATCTGCAACGCAAAATTGGTTAACATGTATATAAAATTATATGTAGATTTTTAGAGATTTTCTAGATTAATGCATACTTTTGGTAAATCCCTGGATGTGGGCAGTTCAGTTCTAAATCGCACGTCACTTTTTATTTGCTCAGTATTGAAATCCCGCTTATTTAACCTTGCCTTAGTTGAATGGCTGTGTGAATGTTCGTCCCGTCGATTATTAGACCCATGATGTTTTCCAAAATGATTCTCTCTATCATTTTGCACATTTTCCCTTTCCTTCGGCACATAATCCCCGCTTATTGTTCGCTGACAATCGAAACCCCGTCTATGGTCGCTATAGCTGCAGTTATAGTTTCCGGGTCCTGTGACACTTTTGTGGACCGAATTACGCTCACGGAAGTTACTGCCACCGCAAAAAAAATTCTTTTGATTCATATTAATCGTTAAGCTACGACTGTCTCGCACATCTCTTTCCCTTTCCCTATCGTCGTTTTCACGGACATAATGTCGGTTAATTGGTACTTGAGTTTGGCTAATGGCATCTGTTACATGAATTGTTGGTCGCTTAGACGAAACTTCCTCTTCCTGTTTCTTTTCATAATGGGAAAAATCATCAAAAATGGATGTTGAATGCCTATATGAGTGTAGTATCTGTAAGACCTCTATGCCTTTCGTGTTTGGTATTTCCTGTGTATCTCTTGAATGCGTCACTGATTTATTGTCATTATTTTCGAGCCGAATATGTCGAAGCTTTCCGTTAGGCACGTCTTTCACATAAATCCATTTAACTTTAAACTTTCCCTTCCATTTGTCTTGAGACCAAACGCTGGATGTAGAGTTATAATCCACCGATGTCATCATTTGTGCCATGCCACAAAAATGGCCAGAGCCATTTACCGAAAAGAAAAGCAGAATATGGCCGCCCCCTTTATGTCGTTCTTTAAAAGCGTCATCCAAGCGCTTATTGCCGTGATCTGTGGAACACCAAATCTCATATTTTATACTGCGATGAATGTCATCTTCGGAATAAGATTTTATGACAAAAAATCTAAATAAATAAATTAGCATTCATTATTAATTTGATTAATATTACATTCTAACTTATTTACCGTGCGGCTGTTGCTTTTTCTAAGTCAATTTCTGAAGGGTTATAATTATTCTTGTCTTTCAACTCGTCCAATAGTATTTGCGGGTCAGCAGTGACCTCTGCAGTTATATACGAACTTTGTGCAACAAGGGGATTATTTTCATCACGACATTCGTATTTCAAGTTTTTATCATAGTCGTGGCGAGCAAAATTTCCTTTGCGTTCGTTAAATCGATTTTGTGGGCCGGTAGGGGTGGTTCGTCGGATAGCTTGCACAGAGGTTCCGCTAGCCTGTCGTGTATCTTGTTGGTGAGCTAGATGCTCTGCAACCCAGTTTTTGCGGTGTTGACCGTTCGAAGAAGGTCGACCGCTTCCAAAATTACTGTTGCTGGCCAATCTGACGCAATCATCCTTTTCAGATCGTGTACCCGGCGATGGTTCTTCGCTAGTCGATACAGAAAAATTATGTTCCGAACAGGACAATTCAATTGGTAAAGGCGGGGATGGTACTGGCGGTGGATTACTGTTTGGCAATTCCCATACATTAACATCTAAATTATGTTTTCCCGGTACCATTGGAGGTGGTGGCATGCCGGGACCCTTCTTTTTATGGCTAGAAGCAGTATATGTGGTCTGCGTGTGCAAATAAGGCAAGATAATAGTTATAATATTAACTTTAATATTAATTTAATTTACTTACTTTCGAAGTTGGTTTTGCTGGCTGCGAAGCTATAGATGCCCATGTTGTCTTTTTTGGTGCAACACTTACTGCGTGTATCTTGATTTCATCTACAGATTCGCATGTGCGATTGTCCAATTTAGATGATGGCCCATTATCATTTGGATTATTCTGCATATATACATTAATAAATATAAGTCATTCTGTTTTACATGTTAATACCAAATGAATGTCGATTATATTTTTTTTGCATTAAATTGTTAACTGTCATTCAATCAAAAGATTCTTTAAACCGCTAAATATGACAAAGGATGTTTTGAACGAAAAAAAAATTTATTCAAATAATTATATTATTATTAGATTTTAATAGTCCAAGAATCAAATATTGTGGCACAGGGAAAGGTGCCTTATAGTTAGTTGCTGTAAGTGTCTTGGCTAGTATACTCTTACAGAGGGAATTATATCGTTAGAAGGTTTGTTATATAATATGAAGATCCACGCTCCAATTTTAGTAGCATAGGAAAAATAATTAAAATAATTATTCTCTTCTAAAGAACAACAAGTTATTTCTTAGATGTCCTTGCTTTCAAAAGGGGGATTTATTTGAATTGTAAATATCATACGGAGTTGGCTATATGGACTTGTCTATTCTATAAGCATTATTCCAAGAACCATAAAATCACAACATACCCGAACAGAAGGCGTAGAATTTTCCGATAAAAGTCGTCTTGAACTCCAGGCATTTATCTGGCTATCGTCACGCTTTGAATTGTTGTAAGAACCTGAATTTCCATATTTTTTCTTTGTATCTGGGAAGTGTCAATTAAAGAATTTTGTTGGATCATTTATTTATTTACTTATTTTTTTTTAATTTTATTAAAATATAAAATGTCAACCTTGTCGAATATTTATTATAGGTTTATGAAAGTGTGTAGAGATCTATAAAAACGTTATATAAATATAATAATCAACAAACAAAGATAAAGGAACACCAACAAATGAGCTCTTTAATTAAGTATTTAAAACATTAACGACAAAAATTACAGCGTGCCTAAAGACACTACTTTCTGTACATTTTTCCCTAGGGCAACAAACTGTGTTGGTCCTTTATCAACTTAACGGCCGTTCAGCTTAATTTTATCTCTCTGATTTACTGCTTGTACACCGAATTTTAAAATATCTTAAACATGAAATCAGCGAATCTTAGGTGCACATTGGCATGAGAATTCTATATAACGCCCATCAGACGCCTTTCAATTATTTATTTCAACAACTCAGTCCTTAATAGTCATTGTTTCGCATTTTATAATTTTAATTATATATGAAGATTTTTAGAGAGACTAGATAATGCATACGTTTGGTTAATCCCTGGATGTGGACAGTTCAGCTCTAAGTCGCACGGCAATTTTTTTTTTTGCTCAGTATTGAAATCCCGCTTATTCAACTTTGCCTTAGTTGAATGGCTATGTGAATGTTTGTTCCGTCAATTGTTAGACCCATCATGTTTTCCAAAACGATTGTTTCTATAATTTTGTACATTTTCCCTTTCCTTCGGCACATAATCCCTACTTATTGTTCGCTGATAATCAAAACCCCGTCTATAGTCGCTATATCTGCTGATATAGTTTCCAGATCCTGTGAGTTTTGTGGACCGAATTACGCTCACGGATGTTACTGCCACCCCAAAAAAAATTCTTTCGATTCATATTAATCGTTAGGCTACGACTGTCTCGTACGTCTCTTTCCCTTTCCCTATCGTCGTTTTTGCGAAAATAATGTCGGTTCATTGGATTGGTTTGATCATTTATTATTATTATTTTTTTTATTAATTTTATTAAAATGTTTGGTCAACCTTGTTGACGACTACCTCTTATAGGTTTTTCAAAGTTTGTAGTTCTATATAAGCGTAATGTAAATATAATAACCAACAACAATGAGGTAGGAACATCAAAAAATGTCCACTTTCATTAAGCAGCTTCGTATTTCAAGCAGTAACGACAAAAATTACAGCGTGTCTAAAAGACACGACTTTCTGTATATTTTAGCCTAGAGCATCATACCGTGTTAACAAAATAGCTTGGCCCTCTATCAACTTAACCGCCGTTCATTTATTTACATTTTAAAGATGGTGTGTATGCTAAATAGGTACCAACCTGCTTTGCCAGTGATAAACATTTTAGATATTACTTTTCACTCAGTTTCCGCCCGCCGAAAATTCTTTCCGAACTATACTGTATTCCACCTTTTATTAAATAACAAGAGGTTCTAGTCGGGAGCTCCCGACTAGGGAATACCCTGAACCCTCTTATTCCAACACCAAATGCAGTTGTTGCAAAATTGCTCACAAAACAGGATGTCGATATCGATTTTTATCGGTTGCTTGGAAACTGATATCGATTATCGGAAACAAACTCGATCTACGCAGGCACTAGGAGGAACATCTTGAATTTCAGGTCTCTAACAATTATAGATTCTGAGATCCTTGCGTTCATACATACGGACAGACGGACGGAAAGACAGACGGACATAACTAGATCGACTCGGCTATTGATGCTGATCAAGAATATATATACTTTATGGGTCGGAGATACTTCCTTCTGCCTGTTACATACATTTGCATTTTACACAAATACAATATACCTTTTTCCCGGGTTCAGGGTATTAAAATATATCAATTCTTTTCATTATGCCTGACTGGACGAAGAAATACATGATAAAACACTTGACTGTGTGGGTCTTTTGCTACCACAGGCACACAACACAAACATAGTTATGTTTGTGGATTTCGTGATTTTTTGAAAAGCCATCCAAAGGGAGTGAGAATGTACACAAGTGCGCAAAGCATTGAGTGAGAGCGTGGCACACTGTGCACATGTTTTTGAAAAAAAACATCAGCCGCTGCGAACTTATGCGCGGAACGAGATCGTTCCGATGCCGGCGTTCGGCTGCCACTCTCATTAGTCTCACTCTCTCTGGGCATAATAAAATGGTCGCAAGCACCCTTGGTTCACTGGCATCGATTTATCGTGTTTCGATTATTTCGCTGTTTGACGTATCTATGCATTGTATGGTTAGTGATATACGAATCGAATCTTGGGATGTAATGTTACTGCTGAAGGAATTTTAACGAATAATGAATACTACGGTTATTCAGGATTCCCCAGAGCCATGTTCGTTATTGCAAGCCATTGCACTCGTGCGTAGGTTTAATTTCTACTTTCGCAAGTTCGTTGCGAACTTTTGTCGAATTACGCATTCCTTGACTGAATTATGAAAGAGAAGTGATAATTTTTCCATTTAAGAGCAGGAGGTATTCGTTTGTTACACTGAGATTAATATTTAATCGTAGCTTTAAAACAGTTGAATTCCAATGCCGGTTCAGCGACAGTCTAATAAATTACATCTTGTTTTTTTTTTCTACTCCAAAAAGGAAACGCCAGCCTAGTCTTGTTACCATAGCTTTGCTGCTTATAACTTTTCGATAGCCCACCGACTTGGTTAAAATATAGGACCCACGTAGACAATAAGAAAACAAACTGAAGAAGGCGACTGACTCGTGTGTAATACCATCTGATCGTTAAATGGAGAAATTTGAGAACCTGTGCCAATACCTAGCGAACGTATATTGCGTGAGAAATCAGAGAAATGTTATGTTGCTGTTTTGAGTTAGTTGACGGTATAGTGTATATCAGAAAAAAATGTTGGCTTTCCGCAGAAAACTGCACCAATGATATGATAAGAAAATTCTTGGCCAAATTAGCGGCATATATTTGAAAGTGCTTGTACTGTATTCCATATTCCGTCTCGATAACAGTCCACAAGAGAACAGTACACAGCATACTAAAAAAGCCATTTGATACACTTCATATTAAGCATTCGGAATATTAACCATTTATATGTCTATTTAAGTGACTCTAGCTCTTATAACTTACACGAGATTAACGAGATTTGTTAACAAAATAAACAAGATTTATATATGTCGATTTTTTTCGATTGCTTGAGACCTGACAAGTTATCGACTATCGGAAACAAACTCGTACTGCGCGGGCACTAGGGCACTATTTCAAGTCTCTAGCTTTTATTGGTTCTGAGATTGTTGCATTCATACATCGAACGTCGAACGGCGGACGAACATGACTCGGCTTTTGATGCGTATCAAGCATTTATATACTTTATGGGGTCGGAGGTGCTTCCTTTTGCCTGTTACAAAAATTTTCGCAATTCCATAATTTCCTGTTTAGTAGGGTAAAAAAAAAAAAAAAAAAACAATGAATACATACATATAGACACATACCCATAGATTAACTATGCCGCAAAGACCTTAAGTTGATGTTTATAAAATGTTTCGTGCTTTATAATAGCAGCCAAATATATATTTAATTATTTTAAAAATATTTTTTCTAATTTTGAAAAGCTGTATCCAAAAATTTAAATATGCTGCCTTCTTACCGATCGTCAATATCAGATCTCTCGTTATCATCTCCAAAAGGATAATGCCATTTTCATTTTTATATCTAAGCTTTAAAATCTTAATAGCTTGCACTTTCTCTGATGCGGATACAGTCACATTTTCAGAAACATGGCTAAATTATACCATATCTGATGGCGAAGTTTTTCGAACAACAGTGATCAACCGTCTCGATTTGGTAGTGTATTAATTGCCGTTAAACCATTTCTTCATATTGAACCTTTTTGTTTAGCTTCGCTTACCAATGCTGAGAATTTCCCAGTTTAAATTACTTACCCTTCACGCGCTATTATCATCAACTTTTCCTATATCCTTCTTCTTCTGACATTCAAGTTTACATGAAACATGTAACTACTATTAACTACTATTAACATGTAACTACTATTTTTACTAAGGGGCGTGATAATGAACTACTTTTCGTGCTGGGTGATTTAATTAAAGGAACGTCTCTTAATTATTATTCATCGACAATGTTTAGTTTGTACTTTTGTTGTTTTAAATCAATACAATTTCTTTTAATTTAAATAAAACACGACCTTGTATTTATCAAAGATTACCTTAATGACAATGTCCCCAGGTAACCCCATTTATCTTTTTCTGAGGATGCATATGACCCTACTTTTGAGGTTGCACTGCTCAATTGTAATCCTACTCCTAAGTCATTAGTGACCAATAAGTCCGTTCGAAAAGAAAACTTTTCCTTGCTTTATCAAAGTATTCTTGCCACTGATTGGTCTTTCTTTCTGAATTCCCTTTTAGGTGCATGTATTCCCAATTAAATCCCATCGTTTGCTTCTTTTTAGCCATTTACTCCCAGACGAAAACCTAAAAAATATTAAGTCTAAATATTTCAAAAAGTGTAATGCCAAGTCAATCTTCCTTTTTATGAATTCCTAATGCTACAGGAATTACCTATCTCATTGAAAAGGCAGTTTGTCCAAAATTCGAGATAGTTTCATGATTTTGTAAGCTTGAAGCCTAAATCTTCAAGTTTGCCACCTAAGGCTAGCAATGATTCTCATGCTGCAAACCGCTGTGCTAATTTTTTCCAATCAACTTACTGCTTTGTCTGTCCTAATAATAATACCCTAATACTTTCCTATACCTCATACTTCCTTCTATTATTTCGCATTCCTCTCTCCTTTCTGCTCTACATTTTTTTAAATCCACTAGATGTCTACTCAAGGAGTACAGTGCTTGCCTTTTTCGTCTATTCCTAATGCTTTTAAATCTATCCCTTGATCTTGATCTTCTGTCTTTGCATTTAAGTTATTTTCTTTAACATTGGATTTCTTCTTATTTAAGGGGTATGACCAAATAAGTCGTTCTGAGGCTGAATAC